AGTATTACCTGCAGTAAAAGCTGCCCTGAAAATAACTAAAATTATCCTGATTACTGCACCTCTGTTCACGTATAATGCCCTGTCAGGGTGATGACACCAAACATCCGCTCAGATAGGCAGCGGAAGAATTTCAAAAAATTGCAGGGTTTGCCGCAACTAGTTTTCTGATTTTATAAAACATTAAATCAGGCACAGATTTTATAAACATTAATTCAGGCACAGACTTTCGGGAACACAATTGAAGTGAGAGAATGAATCTTTCCTTCCTTCCGAGACTAAAGAAATGCCCAAAGGAAGAACAAGCTCGCTGTCATATTGACGTTCTTAAATATTGACATGTTTATCTTGAAACAAAAAGAATGTGTGAGATCAGCGAAGCTGCCATAATCTGGAATGAGAATTTACCACCTCAGAATTATGTATTTAGGATTCCTTCCTTTAGCTTGAATTCTAGATCAGCTATGTGTGTTTTTTTTTTTTGGGGGGGGGGGGGCTCATTTCAACATTTCTAGAAGGTTAAGGAAGGACAAACTAAAAAGAAAACTTTTCACTAGACACACAAGATTTGTCAAGAGATGAATTACAACTAAAATATAGTACTGTTGTAATTAATTCACGATCTGCTTGTCTTTCTGGTAAAATTGATGGTGCAATTAGACCAGCCAAGAAAGTAGATTTATTTTCTCTAAGAAATGTAGAGAAATTATTGCAAAAAATACATTTCATGTGCAAAGACTGGATAGAAGCATTGTTTGTCCTCTTCCCACTCTCCTCTTTCACTCTTATACCTTCCTTTTCGTGCTATGATTTGCTATGCCTTCCTTTCTTAGGACAAAATCTCTCCCTGCCATACCTTGATCAGGTTATGTCCTACCACGTAAGCAGCACCTTCGCGCCTCTCCCCGGGGGCATGGAGCCCCGTGCCGTATCCATGCCAAGCAATGAGATAAGGGTTATGCATTGTAATCCAGTACTTCACACGATCACCAAAGGCTTGGAAGCAAAATGTGGCATAATCGTTGAAGATGTCCACGAGGCAGTCGTTTTCCCAGCCTCCGTATCTTTCCTGCAAATCCCATGGCAAGTCCCAGTGGTAGAGGGTGAGGATGGGCTCAATACCTCTGTGGATGAGAGCGTCTAGGAGACGGTTGTAGTAGCGGAGTCCTTTCTCATTGACAGATGTCACCAGCCCGGTGGGAAAGAGCCTGGGCCACGAAATGGAAAAATGGTACGAAGAAACTCCCAAAAAACTCAAAGCCGTTAAATCTTTTTCCAGGAAGGTGTAGCTGTCACCCCAGTCCTCGGTCCTGTCAGTGTGCCTGATGTTTGAATGGAGGAAGTGCTCCCATATGGAGGGACCCCTCCCATCCTTCTGCAGACCCCCCTCCACCTGAAAGGCACTGGTTCCCACTCCCCAGAGGAAATTGGGGGGGAACGTGTCATGCAGAAACAGCTGAGTTTCATTCATAGGACTTAAGCGGGGATCCTTTTCCCACGCAGAAATGCCATCCCTGCGAAATCCAGAAACGGACTGTAGGAAAACGAAAGCCCACCAACCTACGGGACCTTTCAGATGCCAGCCAGCCATTCTACTATATCTGTGGAGCAGATGTTAAAAGTCACACTTCTCTTTGGAGGCTGCCAAAAATTGATTCCTGGATTCCCGTGGCATACCTTGCCTTGCTCGCTCTCTGGTCCCTGGAGTGTCTTATCAAAGCTTCGGTTAAAAAATAAAATAAAAGCTTGTGATTACAGAAGCCCTGTTAATAATTAGCCTGAACTACAGGACTTAGGATCAGTCATGAGAGGCAAGGCGATCTCTTGTTTGCTCTGCTTCTTATGGCCGCTGGGGAACGCTGGTGGGGTGGGTGTGATCCTGAACGCTTCCCAATTTATAGCCGCTTCTGAAGCTGTGAATCAGAGCTTCAGCTTGTCAGAGGATGCGAACTGTTGATTTGATTATATTCAAAGGGAATAGCAAGTAATTGTATTTGAGACACAATGGCCTCGAGTCAGGAATCAGATGCCACTTTTTAAACCTACGCTCAGCCGGGGGAAAAGGGCAGAGCGAAAGCTGCAACGGATAACAACAATAAAAAACCAAACCACCTCTTCAGCTCTTGAGGTTCACCGTGTACAAGATTTTGTTAGCAGCTGTTCGTAGACTCTGGATGTTGGCAATGTTCGTGGCCTTGGCAACTTCTACACAAAAGCAGATGGGTTTTGGTATTGTCAAGATGCTGTCAATTGGTTTGGATGTATGTATGCATGCACCTCAAACCAAGCCACTCTTCGTTTTTTTCCCCCCGGTCTTCAGACAAAGCAAAAAAAATGTTCTTTTAAAATCCGATATCGGATGAACATTTGAACTTTTTCGCTGATTTGTAAGTGATGTTAATGATTTTTGTGATATGTTTGTTTATTTGTCAAATATATGATAGAGCCAGTTTGGTGTGGTGGCTAAGGTGGGGGCTTAAAAACCAGAAGAATGCGAGTTCTAATCCTGCCTAGCCACAAAAGTCATTTGGATGACTTTGGGCCAGTTACTCATTCTCAGCCTGACCCACCTCGCTGGGTTGTTGTGGGGGGAAATAAGAGAGGAAGGAGTATTGTGTGCGTTCATCACCTTGAGTTACTTATAAAATAATACAAGTAGGATTAAAAATCTAATAAATAAAAATATATATATAAAGCCACCTGACTCATGAAGAATCTGGGCGATGTATAACATTAAAAACAACAGGAAATTCAGAAAACAACGCCACAGATTACAACCTAAAAGTATAAACAGATGTTACAACGTTGCTTGTCCATTACTCTGGAAAATTAATTCCAGAAAGATGGGTATCTGCTAAAGTGGAGGTGTAGGAAGGTGTGTTAAAATGTCTGTCACAGATTTTATCAACATACCTCCTCGCCTATAGTTCTATCCTTTACAAAAAAAGAGAGAAATAATGGAATAGAAATATACAATTGTTTCCCACAAGGACGTGTTTTCCAGCATGCCTGCTGTCAGAACTTGTGGGTGTTTCATCACTGAAGAGAATAGACAGCCACTTGTCTGAAATAGTATAAGGTCTCCTTTTTTGAGTAAAGGGTTGGACTAGGACAGGGGTCTCCAACCTTGGCAACTTTAAGCCCAGTGGACTTCAACTCCCAGAGGTCCCCAGCCAGCTGGCTGGGGACCTCTGGG